TCAGGATTTTCTTCTGGACGCACCGATCCTCCCTCCTGGAAAACAGGAGACACGTGGGCAGCGGCTCCCAGGACACACCTGGGCCATCCTCAGCTCACCTGGTGCATGGCCTTGACCTGGCGCCTGAAAATTCCACTGCTCCCCCCCCCCCAACCGAGCTTTAGCATGCCCGGGATGTTTCCCTCCAAGGCAGGGGGTGATTCTTACCAACACCCAAAACCAGGATGGGGCAATGGGCACCAGGTGGGTCTGGGGAGGGGAGATAGTGGCCTGAGGGGCCCCGCAGTGGGCAACATTCACATGAAGGTGAACGTGGCTTCCAAGTCCCCACCGCCCAGGGCTGTCACCTTCACTGGGGACACCTTCCTGGGCTTCCTGTCCTCCGAAAAGTCCTTATCGACCACCATGGCCTTCACATACATCCTCCCCTCCTCCTCCTCCTCCTCCTCCTCCTTCTTCTTCTGACACAGTCTTGCTCTGTCACCCAGGCTGGAGTGCAGTAGCACAATCTCGACTCATTGCAACATCCACCTCCCAGGTTCAAGCGAGTCTCCTATCTCTGTCCCCCAAGTAGCTGGGATTACAGGTGCACACCACCATACCCTGCTACAGGCTCCCCTTTCAAGACTCATTATATAGCTAGCAGATGGACAGATGCATAGATCAATGGGACAGACAATAAAGAATCCTCAAACAGACCTGCACACATATAATCAATTAAGTTTTTACGAAGATGCAAAAGCAATTCAATGAAAGATAGCTTTTGTAGCAAATGGGCTGGAGCAACTGGACATCCACAGGCAAAACCACCAAACAAAAAGAAGAACCACAACCTACGTCTCACACCCTGTATGAAAATTAACTCAAAATGGATCATAGACTTAAACATAAAACTTAAAACTATAAAAGCTTTAGAAAACAAAAAGAAAACCTTTGGGATATGGAGCTGGGTCAGGAGGTTTTAGATTTGTCACCAAAAATATGATCCATAAAAGGAAAAATTAATAAAATAGACTTCATCAAAATAAAAACCTTTTGCTCTGTAAGAGACCCTGTTAAGAGAATAAAAAGAGGAGCTAAAGACTGAAAGAAAATATTGACAAACTACATGTTCAACAAGGAATTAGTTTCTATACTTTATAAAGAATTTTTCAAAACTCAACAGTTTCAAAAATAGAATGTAGACAAAAGATGTGAAGGGACACTTGACTAGAGAGGACTTACAGAAGGCAATAAACACATGAAAAGATGCTCAACGCCATTAGTCATCAGTGAAACGCAAATAAAAGCCATGATATATCAGTACATACCTATCAAGGTGGCTGATTTAAGATCATAGTGATCACACTGAAGCTGGTGAGGATGCATGGAAACTGGACAGCTTCTGAAAAATGGCTTGACAGGTTAAAACAAAACAAAACAAAAACAAGCTAACCCTGCAACAAGCATAGAACCCAGCAATAGAACCCCTGGGACTTTGTCCCAGAGAAATGAAAACTGATGTCAATGCAAAAACCTGTACATGTGTCATAGCCCAAATCTATAAACACAGACATCCTCCAACAGGTGAATGGTTAAACAGACTGTGGTACATACATACCACGGAGCACTACTCAGAAGTAAAAAGGGATACACTACTGATAAATGCAATAATGGGATGACTCTCCAGAGAATGATGCCGCTGCATGGGGGAAAAAAAGCCAATAATCTCACAATTTTATGATTGCAATAGATGACATTCTTGAAATGAGCAGATTGCAGTAGTGGATAACAGGTCTGTCATTGCTGGGGTTGGGGCTGGAGCAAGCCAGGTGAAGATACACATGATAGCTCTGTGTGGCTTTTTACAATTGCCTGGGAATCTACAGTGTCTCAAGATTAAATGTTTATTTTAAAAACCACAATGAGCATAAACGCTTTAAAAAAAAAAAAAAAGAAAAACTTAGAGTCAAAGACTCAGCAACTCCACTCAGAAGCATCATTTCAACAGATACACTCCCACATATGAATCAGTAGATGGGTTCAATCTTTACTTACAAATCTTGGAAATGCCTCCAATATCCATCAAAATAACAATGATAAAAGTTCATTTTTATGTTTGATTTTTGCAGACTTTCTAGATACCTCTCATTCTTTGGGCACAAGGAATACATCAGTGAATAAAACAAATGTCCTGCACTCGTGTGGCTCATATTCTAGGTGCAGGGGACATAAAATGAACAAAATAAATAAGTGAATTGTGGTGCCAGCTATCAATATCTTGCCTCCAGCTCCAAATGCACCCTTCATGGCCGATTCCGAGGTAATGGAGCTGGAGCCAGCAGGCGCTTCTCTTGTGCACCTGGCGCGATGCTAAGCTTTGTTAGTAGAGGCGTAGGGGAAAGTGCCTCCCAGGCTGGGTCCAGGATGCCTGGTTCTAGGATGCTTCCATTTATCTCTTTTTCTTTCTCTTACTATACAGATGGCAGTGGCACAAGTCAGGAACATCTGGCGGCACTCACCACATTGAATTCAGGGGACCCCCCAGATGGCTTCCTATGGAGATTCAGTGGCATCCGCACATGTGGGTTCCCAGTGACTTTTGTAGGCTTCCCAGCCCCAGCCCACCTGCCTTGGGAGAGAAGAGAGGCTTCCTGCTTGCCAGACGCAGACTGCATTTCCCTGCCTGCTGGCCTCTGCCCTCACCATAGGCCAGCTGTGGCCGGGCAACCCAGCAAACTTCTCTAACATCCCTTGGGAGAACCACACCTTTTCCCATGAGATCTGAACCCAGGCTTGTGGAAAGGATCCCCGCCCCCATTTATGTCTTCCTTAACTGCCCTCCTGTAATCCTGAGCCATTTTTGTGATTCTCTTTAAACCTCTATAGCTGATTGTTCATTGTGCAAGCAATCCCTGTTCAATCTATTGTCTCTGGATCCTATGGGTCACTGGTTCATAGAATTATATATTATTTTAAATGGAAATCAGTGTTATGGAAAAAGCAAAGTGGAAAGTTGGACAGGGAGTGCCGGGACAAGGGGTTATTGGTCCTTTAAATGAGATGATAAGGAACAGCCTCACCAAGGTGGCATTCAAACATCGAATTTAAGACCTGAAGGAAGCAAGTTACGAGCTCGTCAGCTGGAAGAGGAGTCCGGGTGGCAGGAGCATCCAGTGCCAGCCTGGAGGTGGGAGAGCACTGGCAGTTTCCAGGAACACAGGGCAGAGCGGCCACAGCAAATGATCCAGGGAGACTGCCCATATGTGAACCTGGGGAGAGGGCGGAACTGCCGTGAAGGGCATGAGGACCACGACGAGGACTTCAGCTTGTACTCTGAGTGAAGGACCCTGGGGAGCTCCGACAAAGGCAAAGCTGCGACTTCCGTATTTAAGGGGTCTCTCCAGTTGCTGCACTGAGCACAGATTTGGGGGGTCGAATATAGAAGCAGAGAAAGCAGTTAGAAAAGGCGCGGCAATAACCCAGGATATTTGGGGGCCGAATACAGAAGCAAAGAAAGCAGTCAGAAAGACGCGGCAATAACCCAGGAGGGCGCATTGATTTCTACCTGGGCATCCAGGAGAACAGGCGATGGACCTAACTGTCCCACCACAAACAGACGGAAACTGACCCCCAGGGGCGAAACGCTTGTGTTCAGACACCGAACTCAGACAGCGCAGGCTGTGATCTCTGAGAGTGGGAGCTAACGAGCTCAGCTGGATCATGGCAGCTTTATGCCTGTAGGGAATTTCAAGCCACCACAGAGAGAGGAACCCAACAGAGCAAGGAGTCAGACGGCGTGGGCAGGATGCAGGTTGGACTCTGGGCATTGCAGACGACTAGAATGTGGGAGACAAGGAAGCAGACAGGAGAGTGCTGTGCAGAGGAAGAGCTCCCGAAACGTGCAGAGGGGTCCTCAAGACTGTAGCTAAATACTGGTCTATGCAGGCAGAGGGTGGAACTCCACAGGGCCAGAGAAAATGATGTTTGGGTAAAGAAGGATTCCAAGGAAGTGAAGAAAATCAACACCCCACAAACACAGGTACAAAAACGAGTTGAGACGCCAAGACAAGAACAGTCTTCAACAAATGGCCCTGGGACAACTGGATGTCTACATGCAAAAGAATGAGGTGAGACCTCACGCCACACACAAGCTTTCACCAAAAGTGGATCAAAGACCTAAACGTAAGAGCTAAAACTGTACAACTCTAAGAGAAGATATATAAATCTCTGTGACTTTGGCTTTGACAATGAATTCTTCTCGATACACCCAAATAGCATGCAACCAAAGGAATAGACAAGTTGGACTTCATCAAAATTAAAAACTTTTGTACATCGATGGACACTATGAAGGGAATGAAAAGACAAGATACAGAGCGTGAGAAAATACTTGCAAATCACATATCTGATAAGAGTCTAGTATCAACAATATATAAAGTACACTTATAACTCAACATAAAAACACAAATTGCCCAATTTTAAAAAGGGAAATTACTTGAATAGACTTTCTTCAGAGAAGATATAAAAATGACCAATAATCATATGAAAATATCCTTAATGTTATTAGTCCTTAGGGAAATGCAAATCAAAATTACAGTTAAATACTACTTCATATTCATTAGGATGGCTAGAATCACAAAGCCAGATAATAACAAGGGTTGGCAAGGATGTGGAGCAATTAGAACCCTCATGCACCACTGGTGGGAATGTAAAATGGCACAGCTGCTCAGAAAAACATAGTTTGGCAGCTTATCCAACAGTTACACATATAATTATTCAATACCATATGACCCAGCAATTCCACTCCCAGGTATACACCCAGGACAAATGAAAACATATGTTCCCACGAAAATATTTATGCACAAAGGTCCCTAGCAACATTACAAAACCTAAGAAGTGTAAACAATGCAAATGTCTACCAATGGATGAATGGATAAAAAAGGTGGTATTATCCACACAATGAAATATGATTCTGTCATAAAAAGAAATAAAATACTGACACATGCTACCACGTGAGCAAACTTTGAAACATTACGCTAAGGGAAAGAAACCAGTCACAACAAACACATATATATGATTCCATTTCTATGAAATGTCCAGAACAGGCAGGTCCACGGAGACAGGAAGTAGATGAGAGGTTCCAGGGCGGGGAGGGAAGAATGGGGGTGAGAGCTGATGGGCATGGGGACCTTTGTAAGATGATGGAGGTCTCCTGGAATTAGATAGTGGTGATGGTTTCACAGCCTTGTGAATTTATTGAAACCCATTGAATTGGGCACTTTTAAAGAGTGAGCATGATAGCATGTAAAATAGATACCAAATAAAAATTCTAAAAATCACCTCCCCAGAGAAGCCTCTCCGGGCTACGCAATGGGAAGATGCAGCCCCTCCTCTCTTTGTCACTCCGCTGAGCTGTGTTCCATTTAGGACACATCACTTCCCGGAAACACCCTGTTCATTTACTTGCAATCCTACTGACCGTCAATTTCCCCCATGTGGTACACTGAATAATGGTCCCCTAACGATGTCCACACCCTCATCCCTGGCCCTGTGGATGTGTGTATGGTAAAAGGGACTTTGCAGATATAATTCAGTGAGAGACCTGAGATGAGCAATTACCCTGGATTATCTGGGTGGACCCACTGTTATCACAGGGGCCCTTATAGGAGAGAGGCTGGAGAGCGAGGAAGGGAGAGAGAGGAGGGCAGGGAGAGAGAATCTTTACCAACAGAAGCAGAAGAGGCTTCACTGCTGGCTTTGAAGGTGGAGGAGGGGCCACAAGCCAAGGCATGTGGAGGCCTCTGGAGGCTGGAAAAGGCAGGGACAGATTCCCCCCCAAGAGCCTCCAGAAGGAGCCAGCCCTGCCAACCTTCATTTTAGCCCCATGAAACATACTGAAAAGAAGAGCTGGAATGAAGCATCTGAGGCTTTCTCAGCAAACCCTGCACGCTCGGTTGCAGTTGTGGGTTTTTTGACCAACAAATGAAAGCATTCTAAGACGCCATGCACCTTCGGCTGAAGGGGGTGTGACTATCTATTCCCAGCCCCAGCCCCACAACCAGAGGATGCGTTTCCTCACGGCTTTCTCCTGCAGCTCAAGGAGGGAAAGCGTTTGGAATTATTTGACTTCTCCCCTACACTCAATGGAACTTTGGAATTATTCTTCCCACCCTTGCCAACCACAGGGCTTTCTCATGTCTATGGGCATGTGTGCAGGTTGCTTGGGTATGCAAAGATGCAGGGAGGGCATCTCGTCGATGGAAAATGGGATTCTCATGGGCATGGCATGAAGTGACACCACAATTCCCTACATTGTTTGCTGTGGTTGCTCATTGGGACGTGGCACCGACTAGAACCAAGGCTTTGGGAAGCCAACAGGCTACTGGCTTGGCCACAAACATGGTAATGACGACTGCAAGGAGAATGGGGCGGGGGCTGCCCTGACTGCTCTGGGGCTTTCAGAAAGGAAATGCCAAGGTCTAAGCTTAAGTAACAGGCAAGACACTGCAGACGTTCCATCCTGGCCTTGAATATTTCATTCTTGCAGCCACAGAGCGGCAATGACTGAAAATCTGACTCCACATTTAGTAGTGTGGGTTGCACGGTGAGCTGGGTTCTAAAGTCGCCAAGTGTTTATGTGAAAGTCGGGTCACTGCTTAAGGAGTGGGACCGTGACATGCAGAACTGGGACATTCGTGTGACCTCAGACGGAAGTGAGAATCGTGATCCCCTCCCCAATCCCCCTGAACTCACCTGGGCAGAATCACCACCTCCTCCTTTGTGTGAGGAGACGAGACCTCGCTTTCTCAGACATCTTCCCCCAAGACAGTTGTGTGGGGATATATTCTAGGGGCTTTACACGAAGAGAACTGTGCTCCAATGTGGACCCAAGCTGAGCGTACCAGTGCGTATGTACTGAGCACAGCAGAGCTCTCGGCATGGATTGGCTCCGCCCAAGCCCCTGCACCAGGAGACAGGAGATCACCAAGCTCTCATGGCGTCCAGCAGCAGGAGATGCATCCCTGGGGTGGCCCCAGCACCCTAAATGCTTACCTGAGAGTAATGCCAGGTGGAGCTCAGCCCCAGTGAAGTCAGCAGCAGACCCTTGGGTGGCTTTGGGTGAGCTCTTGGGTACCCAAAGTCAGCAAACTTCTCTGCCATCCCAGGACCACAGACACACCCTCTCCAGGGAGGCCTCAGTGCCTTCCAGGTTATTCCTACCCCAGTGCTCAGCCTCAGCCCTGGGGTAGAACTGGTAGAAATAACATTTGTGTTATTTCTGTGGTTTTAGAGTCCTCTTTACCCATTGGTAGCCCCTCTCCTGTTACCAGTTGGGAATTCTTTGCAGTAATTTGCCTTTCAAATGACTGTGCGACCTGTATCCGACACCCTCTCTGTGTCAATCATGGCCTTTACTTTCTGAATTTGGACACGCTGATATCTGGGGCTGCAGGCGAATTTGCTGTGTGTCCCGGCCAGCACCCAGCCGCCCCTTCTTAGAGCTTTTGCTAAAAAGGGCTTACACCTGTGACTCCTTCCTCCGCCCCTTTGAGAAGTCAGTGTTTCTCCTGCAATGCAGAAGTGTGTTTCTCAGGCTGGGTGCGGTGGCTCACATCCGTAACCCCAGCGCTTTGGGAGGCATAGGTGGGTGGATCAATTGAGGTCAGGAGTTTAAGATCAGCCGGGGCAATATGGTGAAACCCTGTCTTTACTAAAAGTACAAAAATTAGCCGGGCGTGGAGGCACGTGCCTGTAATCCCAGCTACTCGGGAGGCTGAGGCAGGAGAATCGCTTAAACCCGGGAAGCAGAAGAGGTTGCAGTAAGCCAAGATCGTGCCACTGCGCTCCAGCCTGCGTGACAGAGCAAGACTCCAAAAACAACAACAACAACAAAAAAAAACAAGTGTCATTCTTAAGGACCTGAGAGCCATTCCTTAGAAATGTGACCTTCAGGAAAAATGGGCATCCATCTCCCAGGACCCTGTTGGAGCACAGAGTCCTCCTTCCGTAACTGCCACACAGCGGGCCCCACTGCACTGACCCTGTCCAGCCCTCTGTAACTCTTCACTGGAGCCCTCACTCCCTCCCGCACCCCCTCCCACTCTCCCTTCACAACACCCCTTCACCCCCGCACAAAGTAACAGGGAACCACTCTGTCCCCAGCTCTCAGAAGCTGCTAAATAAAACCTGTCCTCACTGCTTTAACTAGTGTCCAGCTTGGCTCGCTGGTGACGATGTATCCAAAATGCCGTATTTCACACATGGACTTGAGCGGGAGAGCAGCTCTCACGATGGCTTCCAGGACTTGCTGAGCTGGCGTTGTGGCCTCATTCACGGGGGCTGGGACGCCAGGATGGCCCCACATAATATGAAGAAAGGACTCTGTGCTGCAGGCTGGTGGGGGAAGACACAGCCATAGAAACGACTGGGAGGGAGGCTCGTTATACTCAGACCCCTAGAAACACGAGGGGCGGGGCCTCCCGGAAGCACCAAGGCCTGTCTGGAGGAACTGGGAGCAGGAGGAGAGTGTGGGCGGAGCCCGCACTGTGGTTCCCACGTTTCCCACGGGAAGGAACGGAGGAAGCAGAGTAAACAGGCTCAGGGCGGGCTGGTTTCAATAATGTCCCGGGCCCTGGGGTGTAGGGGCTGGCTGTCCCTAGCTGTCTGGTACCTGCCCTGGGGAGGGTGTGGGATCTGAACAGGTTGGTTTGCATAGGGAAGGCACACTTACAGACAAGTCATCTGCTATTTCTAGAAATTAGCCAACTCCAGAAGAAGCACTTCCTCCAGGGTTAGCAAGGCCCCAGATACCAGCGTGTCCAAATTCAGAAAGTAAAGGCCATGGTTGACACAGAGAGGGTGTTGGAGACAGGTGGCACAGTCATTTGAAAGGCAAATTACTGCAAAGAATTCCCAACTGGTAACAGGAGAGGGGCTACCAACGAGTAAAGAGGACTCTAAAACCACAGAAGTAACAGAAATGTTATTTCTACCAGTTCTACCCCAGGGCTGAGGCTGAGCACTGGGGTAGGAATAACCTGGAAGGCACTGAGGCCTCCCAGGAGAGGGTATGTCTGTGGTCCTGGGATGGCAGAGAAGTTTGCTGACTTTGGGTACCCAAGAACTCACCCAAAGCCACCCAAGGGTCTGCTGCTGACTTCACTGGGGCTGAGTGACACCTGGCATCCTGCTTGCCAGCCAAGCCCCTCAGGATAGAGAATGAAGAAGTCTCCTGAATCTAAAGGGAAGCCCCTTCCTCCCTCGACCCCTGTGCCCTCTGTTCACAAGGCCTAACAGTGCACCAGCTACGAAGGAGAAACATCGACAGGGTCCAGCTCCAGTCACACACAGGATAATTAAGAGCAAATTTGAAACAGAGGAGCAATAAACCCATAGCTGGCATAGAACCCAAATGGCCAAGGATTCAGAGTGTGGGGGTGCACACTCACCCACCACACCTGCTTCCCCCATTGTCAATTTCTTCTCTTTATTATTTCCTTTCTTCTACTTTCTTTAGGCATAATGTGATCATTTCTTCTTAAGGTGGGGGCTTGGGCCATTGACTTAAGCATTTATTTTTCCTACTAGAACCATTTAAAGCTATAAACTTGCCATCCCTGCAGCCTTAGGTCATGTAAGATTAGAGTGTTAGGTTACCAAGAGGGAAAGCTCTGCTATCAGGAAGCACAGTGAGTGCCCCAGGAAACCTGCTGTGATGGTTCCACCAGGCCATGCTGGGATCCTAATGCCCACAGATGAGCAGGTAAAGAACGGAGTTACTGTATATCAGTAGGTGTTTTATACTGATTATGTATATTGGTGGGTAGTTGACCCTGATTATGTACACTGGTGGATAACTGACCCTAATCATGTATATTAGCGGATAATTGACCCTGATTATGCCTATTGGTGGGTAACTGGCCCTGATAATGTACATTGGTGGGTAATTGACCCAGATTATGTATATTGGTGTGTAATTGACTCTGATTATGTATATTGATCAGTAGTTGACCCTGATTAGGAATATTGGTGGATACTTTACCCTGATTATATATTTTGGTGGGTAGTTGACCATGATTACATATATTGGTGGGTAATTGACCCTGATTATGTACATTGATGGGTAATTATTAACCCTGATTATGCATATTCATGGGGAATTATTGACCCTGATTATGTATATAGGTGTGTAGTTGACCCTGATTATGCATATTGGTGGGGAATTATTGACCCTGATTGATTATGTATATTGGTGATTGTATATATTTATGGGTAGTTGACTCTGAGTATGTATATTGGTGGGTAATTATTGACCCTGATTGTATATTTTGCTGGGTAATTATTGACCCTGATTATATATATTGGTGGGTAATTATTGACCCTGATTGTATATATTGCTGGGTAATTATTGACCCTGATTGTGTATATATTGGTGGGTAGTTGACCCTGATTATTGTGAGCTGGTGAAGTGGCTCCTACTTAGGATGAGCAGAGAGGAGTGTGTCTAAAATTCAGGAGATTCAAGGAAGCACCCACGGGTGCCTCCCTGCCCAGTGGTGACCATGACAAAGCCACTACAGTGACCAGAGCCTGACGAGAGCTCTGACTCAGGTCTCAGACACCTTGGAGATGAATGTGCAGCTTCCCCACTGGGCAAACAATCCAGACGGTGAAGGGAGCCCAGAAATGCAATGGCCGATGAAGCTTCAGTGACGGTCCCATAGGGCTGCGTATATCTGTGCAACTTGAGGGGTGGAGCACAGACAGTCATGTGAGACCCCAACCGTGTCCTCCCAGACGCATCCTCCTCATGTGCACAGGCAGCTCTCGGCTGCATGCCCCATGACTCCTCCCTTGAAGGTTTTCTCTGGATGCTGAAGCATGCCCAGCCCACACCAGGCAGATTGCATTGCAGGCTGGTAATGTCCCTGTTGTGGCCCTCAACCCAGCACAGCCAGATTGGAGGGCAGAGCAATCTGAGTGTGCTCTACACAGGGCCGAGGGAGACCCCACCAGAGATCCTCCCTTCCTGTGTTCTCTTTATAGTGACTCTATACACATGATGGTACCTTTTCCCAGTCAAGATAAGCTGAGTAAAACTTTCCTGCATCGGTAGTAACAAGTGACTCTACCTGCAGAGTGGGAGACATCGGTGACTTAGGCCATTGCTTAGCTCAAGCGTGCCCTCTCCTACTGGGATTGTGAAATGCATTTCTTTTGCTAAATGGTGAGTTCCACTTCCCATTGTGGCCAAGGAGCTCCCATCTGACCAAGCCTCCCTCAAGTAGCAATGATCAACACCGGACAAAATGCAGAAACCACTCTCCCAGGGCAAACAGACACTGCAGGTCGGTCAGCACCTGGAAGAAGGTGACAGCACGGGATGAGTTTCCCATTCTCACTGCTTTTATCTGGAGGACAGGCCCTGTCTGTGCCACATGGAGCAGATCAAACTCTGGTAGACACCCTGCAATTTTGCTGGCTTGAAGAACCAGAGGACACAGTCCTAGGCAATGATAGCTGCTGAAAAGTGAAGAGAGAAATTCAAGGAAGAAGAGAGCCAAGGAGAGAGCCCCAAGTTCTATGCAGAAACCGTCCAAATCTCAGGCTAACCCCTAAAAAATGAACACACAGGTAAGACATGAAGTGGCCCAGCAAAGGCTAGAAGAACTGACTGAAATGTGAACTGAATTGCTGTGCACCACAGAGGAGGCAGAGCTTACAGCTGGAGGTCAAATAACTTCCTGCTTCAAAACAAAAACCACGCCAGGTGTGGTGGTTCACTTTGGGAAGTCCAGCACTTTGGGAGGCTGAGGCGGGCGGATCACCTGAGGTCAGGAGTTTGAGACCTGAAGGGGACCAGCTCCTCCACATCTGTGAGTGTTTCTCTTCAGGTGGGACAAGAGACTGAGAAAAGATATAAGACACAGAGACAAAGTATAGAGAAAGAACAGTGGGCTCAGGGGACCAGCACTCAGCATACAGAGGACCCGCACCGGCACTGGTCTCTGAGTTTCCTCAGTATTTATTGGTCACTATCTCTACTATCTCAGTGAGGGGGATGTGGCAGGACTACAGGGTAATGGTGGGGAGAGGGTCAGCAGGAAAACATGTGAGCAAAGATCTCTGTGTCATAAATAAGTTTAAGGAAAGGTGCTGTG